AGGTTTCAGGCAGCGTCCACACCTACTGCACCGGAGAAATTTGAAAACGCAGCTTTATTTCTACGGATAGGCCTACCGTCCACACTAATCCGTCACGAAAACAGAGCTTTTCTAAAACGCTCTTCAAACCGGAGAAATTGTAATCGCCGCTTTTCGTTTTCGCGTGGACAGAAAACATTTTAAAAACGGCGCTTTTCGAAAACGGTGGCGTCACGATAAATCATGTGATTTCCCTGCCGAGTTTTCCTCAAACACAAATCCAAAATAACCGGTGATTGTTGCGTTTTTAAATTTCTTCGGCTTAGTGAGGATGGAAAACACTTGATGCCTTTTCAGAGTGAAAACTCCGCTTTTAAATTTCTCCGGCATAGTGTGGACGGAGCCTGAGATAACGCCCCGTTTGTGTTCTTAAAGTTAAACAGTTGTATACAAAAACACCATCGTTTCACTTGTCTTTGCACGGTTACTGTTTCTTTTGATTTCTTCTTTTTTGTTTTCTCTACCACTTCCACTCTTGGTGGAAGATCTTTTCAGACTGCTCTGCAACGAGTATCTTCTCGAGATCGTTTTAAAAGACGAGGTTCTAGAGAAAGGCTCCTGTTGCACTTTACAAAGCAAAAGATGCGCAATGTAGCGGAAGGTTGAGATCATCTCATTATTCCTGAAAGCGTACACAATTGGGTTTAGTGCACTGTTGCTATAGTGACAAAACTTGACAAACTGGAGCACGCGATCCGTCCCGCGGGTGGGAGGGAGGTATTGTTTGTAATACGTGCCAATCATTGTCACAACAAAGAGCGGTAGCCAGGCAACAACGAACAATCCTGTAATGAAAGCCAGCGTGACAGACAGTTTCAGATCTTTTTTGAAAGCTTGCCTCACAGCTCTGTGCTTGGAAATTTTTCGTCTTCCTGGCTGTGAGCGAGCGAAACGGTAAATGGAAAAATAAGCGAAGAAAATGATAACAAATGGCACGAAGAAGCAAGTAGAAGCTACGAGAGGCGTGTAAACCTCCTGCCAGCGGTGAAACTGCACCGGTTGTAAGCTTGCCATCACGGCGGCGCACAACCAAGGAACCGCTATCATAACATAGAAAACCTTCATGGAGAGTGTTCTGTGACGTATCGGTCGGACGATTGCGTGACAGCGCTCCACACTGAGCGCTGTAAGTTGAAGTATAGAGGCCGCGCCAATGAAGATATCAAACGTGATGTACAACTGATACGTTGTTGGGTTCACTGGGGATTGCTTGTGGGACAATGTGAAAATGTACAACCAGCAGGGAATGGAGACAAAGCCTACAAGAATATCACTGACTGCCAGACCCATTATAAGCGTGTTGGTGGCAGTGCGCAGGCGTTTGTTGATGGAAAACGCTGACAGAACGAGTCCATTTCCAGTTATGATGGCCACCAAAAGAAGCACATAAAGTGCAACCATTATCCCCAGTTCTATATTTGACATTTTAGTCAAATATACGGACGAATTTCCGGCCTGGACCTCCGTCTTGTTTTCCAGACTCATTTTTCGGGGAATATGATCGCCGAGCTTGTGTTGATAAAACCTGCAACAGATACAAATTACGATTATTTCAAGGCAAAATAAGAAATACCATTTAACGAAAAAGTTACCCGACTGGGAAATCATCCAGTTAGATGACTGCAGAATCGAAGTCTTGGCTCTGAGCTGGAATGTGTGAAACTGGTCAAAAACACTCGTGCACAAGTCTAAATAGCGTGCTGATTTCCCACGACTCGGTTAATGTTGAATAACTGCCAGAGAACTCTTATCTATACACAAACCTCCACACTAATTTTGTTCGAAAACATCAATTAATCATGTCAGTGCGCCCATTATTGCACAAAAACTGCGACTAAAGAAACATTGAGGTAATTTTTTTAAGGGTGTACGTACTTGACGACCATGGGAAAAGTAAATAGTAAGTTTCTCCTATTTTGTATGATTTTACCACAAGTAAATTTTGACTGAACACAATTTCAGAAAGACTGTTGGTTTCGTTCAAGGAAAACGAGCCGACCTAGATAATTCATAAGAAATGGAAATCATGAAAAAAGAAAAGAGATAACGAAGGTTGCCAACCCCTTTAAATAATAGACGGTTTTTTTCGTGATTTCTATTGAAGAAATGTTAACCGAAAATATAGTGGCAGATTTATCTCTTTAAATTTGATCTTTGACTCAACTAGAAGTCATCCAGACAAAAATCAGTGATAACAATTTGTTTCACGGACAATAAGCAAAGTCGTCGTTCACAATACTTATAATTAAAATAGAAATTAAACCTTTTAACCGTTTACAGGCGCCACTGAACGCAATGGGTAGCAGACGATTCTTTTCAAATTGAACTGGAAGTCATCCAGACAAATTTGATGGCAATTTCTTCAGCGAGTAGCACGCAAAGTTGCCGTGCACAATATTCATAATTCAAATTCAAATTAAACTAAATCCAGCATGTGGTTGGTTGGTTGGTTATCTCTAATTTCTGGTGTTGGCACGTTCTCTTGTTAAAAGTTATTTATGAAGAGAACATGGCTTGAAAAAACTCAACTAAAATGCCCATTGTAAAGCTAATGTTATAAACAGACCTACAAAAGAAATTTTTAATCTTACTCTAAGGAAGTCTAGCCGAGTTTTTGAATTATTTATACATAACAATCATATTTCAAAACTAACAATCCGCCAAATTTTAAACAGACTAAGATAAAATATAAGAAAGTAATGCTCGCTTTCACAATAATTTTAGTTGATTTAAGCGTTTTCTCTCACGTCTTGTTTACCGAACAACAAAATGAATAACACATATATTTTGCAAATTTTTGAACGAACTTACCTCTATTGATCATATGTCGGCTAAAGCAGAACACTTTTAAAAGTTGTTATTTGGTATAATGACGTTATTTTGGTCTACAAACAGGTGATCAGTTTGAAGGACATACACAATAAGCGAAGATTTTGTTGTGGGGCCAAATATTTAGAAATTATGCTTTTGAGAAAGCTTAGATTTGTCGAGCTAAGGTTAACTCACAAATGTGGAACACTCAATAGTATTGTTAAACGCCTCTTCCGTTTGCCTTAGAAACTTTTCACTGTAAAACTTTGTGTTCGTTCGTTCACCTTTGTGCATGACTGTATCGTTCTTGCGGCCTTGGTTTCTACCTCCCCTCGATACATCCAGGGTAGGCTGTCGCTAAAGATTATTCTGTTTTTCTAGTTTTTAATTGGTTAATCTCTGCTTGCCTTATCAAGTCAGCTGCGTTCGTTTAGTATTTACATCCGAGTACTTTATTTTGTACCACCTGGTTTACCCTTGGCTTGAATCCTAGGCGTAGCTAGAATTAGCATAAAAATAGGCGAATTGTAAAGTTGTATTAAGTAGAAGCATAGCAGTAGAACAGGAAAAAGAAGTAGAAGTAGTAGTAGTCGTGGATTAAACTCTGATAATCTTAATCTCAGAGTCCCGATACCTCTCGTTGGTGACCAGTTAGTCCCATGCAATTTTAACAAGAACAGACCCGCTAGCTAGATAGAGAAGAAAACGTGTTTATGTCATTTGGTTAGTTATTTACGCCGCAAATATCAAAATCGAATCACCTATGTTTTCTGAGAAAGCTCAAAAGGCGATAAAAATGATTGACCCAGTCCCTTATCGCTCTCTTTCTCTCGGGGATTAAGTGGTTGGTACAAACCTGAGAACGAATTTGTTTTTCATTCGTTGACGTCATGAAATTTCGCGCAAAAATGACGGTCGATGAAATGGAACGGAATGCCTTTGAACCGTACGTCTTGTCAGCTCTCAAGACGACTAAATATATGTTTCTTTAAGAAAGCTTCTCAAACTCATTAATAATTCATCAAGTGTAAACAAAGGAAATCATGACCTTGTCGGTGTTTGGATATCTGATCTTAATTAGCATAGATTATAACGATTTTATTTCTCCGTTTTCTTCTTAACTTTAGTTTCGATTGAGAAGATATATCAAGTAATCACCCCGAAGCTCGTCAAAAACAATCTGCCACGCGTTGAAATTTTCAACTCTCTTCTCTTTGTTTCGAACGTGGTCAAACACGGTCTTTCGTGTTTGAAATATTACTTCCAAACTACTTCAGTTCAGTAAAAGTGGATAAATAATAAGCAAAGGTTTCGACTCGGGCATATAGCTCGGCCTTGCATTATTTCGAAACCTGCACTGTTCCTTCGCAGTTGCAAATTAGTTTACTGGTATAAGTCCACCATAAAATGTGGAATAAATTGTTCAAATTCCGCGTTGAATTACGTATTCTGTCCGATCCTTATCACATTTCACTCTTAGAAGCATTTGTGTGATGTTTGAAAACTGCAAGCGAACTCTTTTGCTGTTAACACATGTCAACGCTTTAAAAAAGTCTCAGGGTGCTGTTGTGACTTGATTGATTTTAAATTCCAGGCTTTCTTATATAATATGAATTAAGTCTATTTCTTGTTGAAAAACGTCAGACTCAGAAACCGCGAGTCTTTACAATCAAATCCTGAATGAATGTAAGATGAATCCAATTTAAAATCTACAATTTAAAATCTATGTGTAACAATAAGATGAATACAATTTAAAATCTGCACAATTTTAAAAAGACATTTGTTCATTAATCTCTCAGTTCTTATCTGGGGGAGTAGGAATTCATGGCCCCTTTTTCTTAGCATTCTTGACCGTTTTGGCGCCAACAAATCTTGAAGTGTGTGGTCTTTCGTGATGGTGATCTTGATCAAATATAGGAGAGTTACTAAATAACGATTTCGAACATCGAGCAAAGATGCAAAATTTTGCATTATGCTCAAGTAGAAATGAAGCTTCTTTTGCATGAAAAAACATCTGCAGTGAATGCTGCACAGCTGAACGTTGTTCAAGGCATCTTAATTGGCACGAAGGCCGGAAAATTTGGTAGAGTTTCGATCCTTACAAATGTTATCTTTTTGGTCAGTCTCTCCGAAAAAGCGTTTAAGAGAAACTCAGATTTGCAAGTCTTCATGTTATCTTCGGAATCAGAATTGCAAAGCGGTATCCAGAGTACATATTGTGCATCTCATTTTCATTAAGAGCAGCCCTCGTTTGGCTGATCAAGTGTTGTTTCGGTCCCAGAGCAAAATTTTCAAGCGCATGCATACGATATTTTCAGTTACATATCTTCAATGTTCAGACCAGCCTTACCTTTTAATCTCGCAGCTTGATCATGAAACACCAGTTTGCGAGTAGAAATGTAGAGAGCAATTAAATTAACCAGCTGCCCACATCGTATTGATGGCGATGTTATTGTTTCCTTGGTCGTAAACAGAATTTGAAGTGCTGCTGATAATCAATCATATAGTCACTTCAAACTGTACACCATTAAATGTGACAAATTTGATTTATTTTTTCTAGCGCATTCAGACTAAAGAGAAACACCGAGTAAGGCTTTGAAGTTAAATGTTGTCATTAGTGATTGGCAAACAATGCAATTTGGAATATATGGAGGCTTTGAGAAAACTGACGCCCTTTTATTGTGCAGTTGTCATATCATACTAATCATTTCAACCATGGACAAACAGCAATATAACACTTCCCGGCAAATATTTTTTTGGTCTAGCACACTGGTAGAATGGAAAAAGGATTTCGCAATAAAAAAATTATAATCAAAAATCCTCTCTACAACTACATCATTAATTAAGCTCTTTTCACAAGTTCGTTAAAAACCACAAAATCGACATGAAAAAATGTTTGCGAGTTCTAGTGATCGATATCACACTGATATCAGACAAGAATAAATGCATGCATTACACAAAATTGGTGTCTGTCAGATAAAACCTTGAGAGGGTTAAACATTTTATTTGATGAATTCAAGGATGTTTATTTCTAAAATAATGTAGCTTTGAAAGGCCGCGTCTGAAGGTCTGTTTACGATATCTCTGAAGGTCAGTGCAAACCCACAGGCCTTTTTAGTTCCGAAACTAAACAGCCAAGTGAATTATTGTGGTTTTTACATGGATTCTGTGGATGTTAGGACAGTCTGTGATGTGCGGATACTCAAATGAAAATTATTGAACAATATTTTTATGTGATACTGGTTGCTGTACTGTACAAGGTCGTTCGTGACTTAAACCCAAGTGTGTGCACAGCCAAACGGAAGCTATCGGCAATTACTTTCAAGCAGTGCTGATTGCTTTTATTTAAACATTTTAAAAGTATAATTTAAAAGTTTTCACCATGGGGATTCGATCAAGGACGTTGGGGTAGAGGGCTTAAGCAAACCACGATGGCAACGGCAACGAGAACGCCACCAAACAAAAGGTTTCCTGAGTAGAACAATGGCTGCGTACGTGCGTTATAAATCTTTGTACATTTCTTAGCCGTCCTTTGCACGGCAACAACGTGAAATAACTAAGTTCTGCGTGTTTTGGAGATTTTTTTGAGGGGAGGGAGCGGATGTACACAGGCTACTTTCCGGGTTAAATTTGGCGCGTCAATGTTTCCGCCAAAATCAGGATATTTTCTGAAATGCTTTATGTCTGAAAAGAAGCTGGTGATCGCAATTTTTG